CTATCGATCAATCCACTGCAAATCAGCTTCCTTTGATAGAAGATGAGGAATATACTAACCCATTCGATTCCCTACCAAATGAGGTAATACAAGAGATATGCATGATGCTCTCACTTAGAGATAAGATGTCTCTTAGATTAGTCAATAGAAGACTCTACATGATATGTTCTGATCCTTTTTTGTGGAGAAATGTTGTCATTGATGATGCATATAAGACAAATGCTCCATTCATCAAGTCTGCTTTACAAACATGTGGCCCACATGTACAGTCACTGAGTTTAAGGGGACTACTACGATTCAGTGCATATCAACAAATGATTCTTACATGTAAGAATATCCATACTTTGAATCTTTATGGGGTTCAGATTTATGTCGATGCTTTGGAGGAGCTTCATTCAGATTTACATCATTTGCAGTTCTTAAGCCTCAGTTATATTGACCAGTTTCCTTTTTCTAGTGACAGATTTTTCATAATTTTTGCCAAGTTAAAAAAAGTTGTACTGATTTACAATGCTTTTGAACCGAAGAAACTGTTGGAGAAATGGTTCCTAAACAACTGTTTACCACAAATATTCATCCTTGTTGTTTCAGCTCATGGCAAAGGATATTGGTCCAGAAATATACGCCATCTTCCTAATATCACTCATTCAGCTTATTTTGCAGCTTATGGGAATTTTCGCCGACCTTTGGACTTTGATTTTTATAATGTACCCGAGTACTCGCTCGAAATTGGCCCCAATAGTTCTGAATCTGTTGCTGTGACTGCTAATGGGAATCTAATGATTACAATGAAAGATTTCATCACACCAACAAGTGATGGTGTTAGACAACGATATGCTGTTTTTAAAGATGAAGCTGTCACTCCTGGTCTGTCAGTTTATAACAGTCGATATGGAGCTAACATTACCGTACTTGGATTTTCTTCTGTAACCGTATCACTTGAGTCCTTTCGTATGATTGTCAAGGAGACCCCTAACGTATTGGAGGTCAGTTTGAAGGGAAGTATCATATCAGATTCTCTTGACGCTTACATGGTTCCATTATCTGTACACTGCCTCAAACTAAGAGGATTAGATGTATCTCGTTTCTCTACTAGTTCCAGAGATAGTATCAACCCATATATGGAGGACTTTTGGAATCTTTTGTCAAAAATGAAATATTTGGAGCATTTGTCAGTCAAATGTTGCTCTTTCTCACCACTTAACTCCAACTCACAGCATAACAGACGTTCAGCAAGAGTCCCAACTGATAGAGAATTGGTAGTAAAGGAAAGGGTTATTGGTCACATTAAGAGAATGACCAGACTCAAAAGTCTCTATGTCATTGAAACTATTGAAACTGAGAAATTAGACTATTTTATTAGTCAACATTTGCTTTCGATGATATCGAATCTGGAGTCTCTTCTCTACCTGGAAATCAATATTTCATATACTGCAAATATTGCTCTTTTAAATTCATGCAATATAAATATTGTTCAAGGGCTTGAAAGAATTCTTCAGAAATGCCAGAAACTTTCATATCTTGTAATTGATTTTGCACCAGTCAAAGCTATCAGACTGCCAGTAGATCCAGCACTGTATGGTAATCTTACTCATCTCTCGCTTGGTTGCCAACATGGACTGATGCCTGTGGAATTCGGTAGTGCTCTTGCTATAAATAGCAAGAAAAAATTGAAGCATTTACTTTTGGAACATCAATATGACAGCATCGAAAAAAATGTTTTGGATAAAATAAGGGAGGGTAATTTTATTACATTTAACGAACAAATTGAAAAGTATTTTTCTATACGTGAAATAAGTAAAAGTAAGAAATGGGGCAAGCTGCCATTGCTAGAATTTTATAGAGGAGAATTTCCAATTTTACATTAATTATACAAGATTGTGTTTATATTTAGAATTGTAGTTACAATTTTGTTTAAATTTTGTATCATTTTTGGTATCAATTTTGTGTTTGTTCCTGAGATTTATTTTATTTATTGTTTTTGTTTATCATTATTGTTAAT